CTTCTAAACTTCACATGGAAAAAAAATCCTACAGGTGGTGCTAAAGACTGAACTTACCACTGACAGTTCTGGAGACTTACAGTTAGACCAATAATTGGATATCAAGGGAAAAACAGCACACATATCTAATCACCGTGTCAGTCAGCGTTTTGTGGCAACATGCACCTGCGATGCCACATGTTTTAGGGAAATTATAACCTCAGAAATAGCTGAGGGTTGAAGAGAGGCTGCTAAACATGCCACATAAAAGCTGGTGTCGGGCTAAATTATGGCCTGGTCTGCAGTGTGCTGCACCGGAGTGCTGCTGGTTTGCTGGTTAGCCCCAGCCTGGGCCGTCAGGTGGCCCTACACAAGCAATATTAAATGGTGTGAGTGCATGTCTGTTCTTGAGTGAAATGGTTATACTTGGTTTTCGGGGGAAATCACTGGAGGTTGCCTTTCTGCAGACCTTGATTTTATCTGCGTTAACACGTTTAGCAGCCAAGTCATCTGAGGCTCTCTGTGGAGTCTCTGTGCAGCTGGTGGCCCCGTACAGTGCCTTTTATTAGTGATAAGCACAGCTTGATGCATCTCAGCTGCACTTTAGTTCACTTAAAAACAAAGTTCATTCCTGCGGAATGTGACTCATAATAAACATTTTTTTGTTTATTCAATTGAATAAAGTACCAAGAGGAAGGATTGGGGCATTCAAGACAGTACTTGTTTAGTAAATAAATATTACTTTTTACTTTTTATTATTATTAAATGTTTACAGCAAGTTTACAGCAATTTAGCAATGGTGTATGGGTAATTGCTTGTTTTGGGGAATTATCTCTGGGTTGTGTATTAATTATAATTTATAATTATAATTAAAGTTTTTAGCTGTATGTTGCTTGTTTTCTTTTTGAACCATTTTTGTTTTCTTTGAAACAGTATGTTTCAAACTGGATCTTTCACATGCAGTATATTGTATTTTAATCAGTCTATAAAGAACACATGAAGAATGGATGTTGTCATTCCTACATCTCTATGTATGTGCCATAAGGGCCATAAAACTGATGAGGTCTGCAATCATTTTCATCAAGAGTCCATGGTGTCCATGGTCATTAGTTTCATTCCACTTCATAGTGGTCATAACAGCTGTAGAATTGGAGCAGATGTACCATAATAATCTACCTGTTACCTTTACTGTTCCTAGAATAATTAACATCTTTGACTTTCTTAGCCCGCTGGACCAACATCTGAGGTCGGTTTTTAGCCCATAAGTTAAACAACTCATAAGGTTTAAGTGCTAAACTCATTAGCTAACTCAGCTGATGTCGGCTTCATTATGGTAATGGCACTATTAAGGATATTCAGCCTTCGTCAATGTACAAACTGTGGCAAACAAACTGAATGAACGGCGACAGAAACAGGTTTTTTAAACAGATTATAGACACCTTGAAAATACTAAGCTCCTGAACTAGAAGCTCTGTACTGAAGTATTTCTTTCCTTTTTTTCTAATAATCAAAAGTACTTTGCTGCTGGATATTGAGTCTACTTGTTTCTTGGTTGTTACAAATCCTCATAAGAACACTTGATCACGCTGCACTTGATGTACATCCAGACGATGTTTTAAAATACTCACATTGGCCGCTAATGCATCATACATTTGATTATTTGATGTACAAAGGGCAGGAGTTTGTCCACTGCATTAATTAATCTTTAGTGCAAAAATGCCCAGAGAAGGTCAAGACTGGAAGGTAGAAAAAGACATCAGTTACTGGACATTTACCAAAACAGGGCTTCTTACTGCTTTTTTGGTACAAATGACAGAAACACAAACTACAGTTATACAATGTTTGCCAACTGCACTGAATCATCACAGAGAGAGTGAAAATGAGAGGACGGTGCAAAATGTGTGCAAATTACATCACCTACTGTATTTCCCCACTCCAATCCACTCCTCTGTCAGTCACAAATCCCCTTTAATAGACTCCAGAGTGACACAAATCTGAAGCTACCATTTATTCTTGTAATGGAAAAGCTGAACCAACAACCTGCCAAACAACTCCTGAGGAATGACACAGTAACTAAAGACAGTTCTTTCTCTCATCCCTCTCATCACAGTTTTCTTTTCAGTGTCTACATGAATACGTTTTTTAACTTTCTTGCATATAACTCCTCACCCTTTTACTAGAGTGCTCGGCATTTTTTTTGAAGAAGTGAGCGTCCGTAAAGTGGTTGTTGTTGGGATTACATCAGGATTAAGGAGCAGTCCCAAAACAAACATCGGTACAGTCAAACTAAATGCAACCACCTGGTTGGGTCTGTCTTTTAACTGCTCCAGTGACCCAGTGTGTGACTCCTGGGCTCAGGTTTCAACAGACAGAAACTGTGCATCTCTGACTGTGCGTATGTCATACATACTGAGTATCAGATGCACTCTGGAATACACTAGAACTATGAGCTCAACTTTGAAATCCTTTAGGGCACACATACAAAGGGAAGTCTGCTCAATTCTTCATTCAGATCCACACACAGAGACAGCAGTGCTTACTTTGGCAGAGATTTTCAGGGCAACAGTTAACAAGCTGGATCATAACTACAGATTTATGACCACTGGTTGTTGTCAATCAGCTCATTGTCTCGCTGTTTTTGCTTGTACTTCTGACACCTTGTCTTTGCATCTCTGCCTGACTTGTTCATCATCATTCTTCCTCTAAGAGTTACTTGTCAGGTCGTGTCTTTTAGACTTTGACTGCAGCTACACACAGATCAGGAAAAGGAAGGCAGCCATACCTCCTGCTCCGACAGACAGGGTCAAATATGAGACACTTCAAGACTGAAGTGACAAACTGTACAACGCAGCCAGTCAAATTATCATTTACAGGAAGAAGACTGACAGTGAAACAAAAATGCAGCTGCTAGAATATATGAAAAAGTGGTTCCAACCTGTCCAAGGGTCGGAAACTTCAAGTTAAATGTGAAGTGTGGCTAAAACAACACCGATAAAGATAGCCTTTTTAATGAACAGCTTGTTGACCTTTTCAAATGTGTGGTCACATCATAACATCTGTCATTTCATTTAAAAAAATATGATCAAAACACATCCTGTTTTTTCTAACAATGACATTCCTTTAGCTCAGAAAAATAAGTACATATAAATTAAAAAAATAAATTAGTTTTACTATAATTCTGGGCTGATAATGGACTGGACTGAGAGTTGCAGTTAGATGAGGCCTGCTGTTGCTTCCTTAGTAGTCAAGCAGACTGTGGGTAATCATTTCTGAAGAAATGGTCCAGGCTGAGAGAAAAGGCAGTGATCCTAAATGCTCTCTGTAAAGAATCTGAGTGATTGTCAGAAAGAAAAATAACATCCTTTTGACATTTGAACCTGCTCTAAGAGGCAGGTACTGTATAAAAGTCAGGACTAAAGATCAAACACGCAGCTAGCAGGATCTTACTGAGAGCAAAGAACAGGGGAAACACATACAGCTTATGTTTCCCTGTGTAGCCAGTTAACCACTCCGCAGTATGTTTTTGCAGAAAAAAAGCCAGAAAGCTCCAAACCATCTGCAGCTATCAGACATGTTTAAATCTAAACTAATGGGTTGAAGTCAGATCTAAAGTCTGCACTATGACACAGGTTTTCTGCTTTAGCAGAAACTTGGTAGAGTGTGAGAAAGTGGGTGAGCTGTGTGTGTATGTGTGTGTGCCTACATCAAGAGACTTTCTCCATGATGATTGCTGCACACAGTGATTGAGTAAATGATGAAGTGATTTATTTTCTAACCTTGGTTTTATAGACTAGCAAACAACCTGAGGACAGGATGTGACATTTGTTCTAATAGACCAGAGTTTAAATAACAAATGAATGTAACAAAACAATCTAACACGTTGACATTTTTGCAAAAACAGCAATGAAGGTTTGTGTGTGAATGAAGAATATATATTTAAATGACAAAACTAAGCTATGCAGTAAAACATCAGGAAGATAATTCTTCTAAATGTGTTTCCTATTTTTATTGTCTCTAAATCTTAATCCGTGCTGGACTTTAATCCCTGCAGTTCCACATAACTGTCTTTTTAGATTTCCTTCATCATCTCATCAGTTATTGTTTTATCTCTTGGGCTCTCCCTTTAGTCTCCTTTATCTTTACTCCATTACGTATACATTTATCTGCCTATAATCTCTAATCTCTAGATTCTCTAAATTCTGAAAAGATACATTTTGTTCTTTACTTTACTTTCTCTTTATGAATCAAATCAGTTATGGTTGAAGTTACAAATGAAATCACAATGAAGAAATAATTCAAAATCATGGTCAGGGATTTAGAATCTGTGAAAAGCTAAATCTAAATATTATAAGGTTTCTTTGACTAAGTAGTCTTCTTTTTTAATTGTGTTCAAGCTGTCATTTTAACCACTGTACACAAATTAACGTTTGCAAAGACTGTAGAAGACCATCTCTGTCCCTGTTGGAAGCCAGTCTCTCTGCTGATACATTAACATGACAGCATAGCTAAAGCCATGGTCATTGAAACCATGAGACAATGTTTTGTTCTGCAGTAAAAGGAAAGATGGCTGAAGATCCATGGAGCAGTAATCCCTCTTTTTTATAATAACTTTTTAGATAAGACCTAAAGCATGACGTTTGGTTGTGCAGTAAATCTGCCTTTTGTTTTATTTTATGATATGCTTCTCAGAAATCCAGCAGAAATCTTTTTTCCTGATTTTGAAATATTATATAATTATTATTAAACAATTAGTTGCAGAACATCCAAATGTGTAAAGTGTGTATCTTAAACTATTTTAAAATTTAAAATTTAAGTAGTTATTAATATTAATATATACAGAGTATGTAGCTCCATAACATTAGAGTTTCGTAATTATTTATAGTTACAAAATCTATAATTTTATTCAAAATCAATGAACAGAACCATATTGCAAATAAAAAAAATCAAAGCATACTCTATGCTACTTAAACGTATTAATTGAGGGCCCCTCTGAAATGATCTTTTAATATAAACAAACATACCAGTAAGCCGGCATCTGAATCTGCTTCCCATAGATTGCAGTGCTGAAGGATGGGATGATGGGTATTAGAGGAAGGATGGACCCTGTGCTGTCCTGGTATGTTAAACCTGCCTGGAACCCAAATACCTATAAGGAAAAACATAAAGTGATCAAGTGGATCCATTCATATAAGACATCGGCCGAATATAAATCTATATTACATTATGAAGCTGTAGCTTTTTACTGGAGAGCCTTCCTTTGAGATCCTATCGTAGACAATGGACAAGTAAGAAAATGGACAACTGCTGTCTACCAGACACAAATCTCCTTAACTCTGTCAACCAGTGTCAATAACAGACAGATTAAGATAAGCCCTTGTTTATAGCTGTTTAAAAAAAACTTCCTTGTGAATTGTGGTCAAACTGGCCTTCGCCCTCTCATAGTCCATGCTGCTCAAATCCAGAGGTAGAATTAGTGCACTGGCAGATACAGCTGCTGTTCAGATGATTGGTCAGAATGATCCTGAGCCACTCACCAATTGACTGTTAACCCTGCTATGACCCTGTGATAAGGACTACCAGCATGACACCGAGCAAACATTTTGAACCTCAACAAAACTTCAAATTACCCCAGACCTGTTATCTGGGCTTCCTAAAATGCACACTATCTGTAGCACAGGTTGCCCCGGCCTCTGTGGCACTTAACTGGACAATCTGAACGATCAACAGTTCAGGTTTTCAACTGATATTCAAACAAATTAGACAAAATACCTTTCACTGAACACACTGATGTTGTTGACTATTTCTTTTGAATTCGCTAAACCTTTATATATATATATAATATATTGTACGTCAGAAGCCTGTAGATTTTTCGATTATTCTGAAGTAGTCCAGAGATGGACTGGTTCTCATCAGAAAGCTCAGTGCTGAGATTTTTATGACCAGGTAAAAAGGGGTCATCAAGGTCATTAAAAGGGTCATTAGGGTCATTAAGAGAGTGGATACTTTGGCCATGCGGCTGACCTCAGAATTAGGGCAGTACGAAGGCTCAAACTAAATATCTAAAAGGTAGTAAAGTTTGGTTAAGCTCCTTTTTTTTAATCTCAATCATCCTGCTCACCTTGAGGTAGAGATGGGCATAGCAGTGATGTAGAAGGTTGTCAGAAGGCTGGTTGAGGCTGCTGACGTTGCTGACCAACTCTGAGGCATACATTGGCACAGAGTGTTCAACATTAACTCTCTCCACCTTGAATTGCAAAGAGGGCAGAGGTCGCACCGGCTGGAACACTGGTGCATAGATGGGTCCTGGTGTCGACTGCACAGATTCAAGTCGAGATAAAAATAAGAGAGAACGTGATTAAAAGGAGACGTGAGAGGCTTCTGCTGCAGTCAAAAGACAAAATGTTTCAACCAGCATAACTTGTGTGCTCTACCTTATGTCCCATGATGACAGGCATCAAGGCCTGGAGGAGGTTGAACTCTGCCATGAAGACAGTGACTGAGACATTGAGTAGAGTGAGACAAGTTAGTCTGGTGGGAATGAACTCCTCCAGGCTGGAAATTTCTTCTGGCGTAGGTGGACCAAGGCTTTCTTCAATAGTTTCTAAAATGACATAATGATCATGAAAATGACATGTATATGTAAATATAAACATATTTTATCCAGACAAATCTTAAATTATTGATTTTAATTTTAAAGGTATAATGCCCAGAATTTGGCAACATTAAATGCATGAAATCATTGTAATGCAACGCGGGAGACCCATTAGATGGGCTCCATCAATATTGACAAAAATAATCTAAACACACATTATCGCACATTATCTAAATAATACATTTTGTCTTCTTTTTATTTGTTTTTGTACAAGTTTTAGTATAAGAACGATTGCTTTTACTAAATACTATAAGGAGCAGCAAAACCTCAGTGAATCAAACTGATGGTAAACTGAAGGTAAAGTCATTTGAATTCTAGGTTTCTGTGAGTTGTTGACTGTCTGTTATTTCTGCAACATTTTTTTTTTTTAATCACACAGTACAACAAGGTTTGACACTTTGTACAAAAAACAACTATAAAAACATTTTCATCTTAGCACTATTTTGAACTATCACACCAAAAAAAAATACATGAAAATAAGCCCGGAGGCATCTGCAGATCTTCCTTGTAGACCAGAGCTAAGGTGAGCTTTTATTCAACAGCCATGGCTCTGGTCCCAGGACAAGACTCATCTCAGTTCAGTAAATGTTCTTTTGGGCTACATTCCCAGCTCTAAGGTGGGCTGAGAACCTGATCCCAAATCTGTTGTGATATTCTGGCCTGCTGCCACAGCCAGCATGTGATTCATCTGGCACTGCCATGCCTAATCTAATTATATGCCAGGGTTCCAGTCAATGTCAGCAGCCAACGTGGTCCAGAGGAATCTGATTACGTACAGTAGGCCGTCAAACACAGTGAACAGGGGAAGTTTGTCTTTAAAATTAGATGAACAATGTGCTTAAAGAAGTCACACAAGGATTACAAACAAAGAATCCCTGGTATTTCACTGTTATTAATACAATCTAAGGATAAACATTCAACTTAGTTTCCTCTAATATTCTGACAGAGTGCCAGAAAATCATCAACTCGAACAAAGACAAGTAATTTTGCTGGTCTGTTACTTTACATTGGAAAGTATGTTATAAAACAACATCTCCCATTTAGCTCATATTCATGTTTATATTTCCATCACACATAGTGTGTGGAAGCAGAAAAAAAAGGATTAGATGAATGAAAAGATACTGCAAATGTATGTTTCCGACAGCTTGTTTTTTTTTCCCTCCTGGCAACCACCAAAAACTGTTCTTCTGAAAAAAGACCAACTGTCATGGAAATCACTTTCAGACAAAACTAAGCAGGAAGATGTTTAAATTCAATTATTGTATTATTTAACCAGAATACAGACAGGAGGTGAGGATAATGCTTAAACTATGTGCTATTTTATCACTCCATCTGTTAGAGCTACCTCCGTTTCCTCTGTATGCACTCCCCATTTTCTCCCTTGCCTCCAAGAGTCTAACAATGTTACTTTTTTTCCACATTACACGTAAAAAATGACCACAGATACCTAAGGAAACATAAAAGAACACAGTGACCTTTCCAGTTTCAGTCCAGAGCTCTGTCATAATTACCCTATCATCTATTATCTATCACAGATGCTGAAACAGCCGAAACCTACGGATGTTATCATTTTGCAAATATGAGCGTTATTGCTGCAGATATTACCCGCAGACACAGATTCCTGTTGCTTTCACAACATCACAGGAATGAGCTCACCAATGGTTGTGCAGGGATGTTTGCTAAAAAAAAAGGTGTTTAGCTTACCCTCCCTTGAGTGGTCCAAAAGGTCATTGCTTTCATGTTTCAGAATAATGTTGTAAGATTGGTTTTGCAAGGGAGATAACAATAACAATGTGATGAGGATACAGAAGTTTCCGAGCACGGGTATAACAAAGTACAGTCATTAGATTAGATGAAGAGTGAACTATAAAACATAATGTGATTTTATGGTGCAAAGGAAATCGGTCATGTAAAAAATATGTTCCTTTTACTTTTAGATTACTGACCTGACTTTGGCTTTGAGTATGGTTCATACTCGTGGTCCATGGCACAGGTCACCATCTTAAGGATGCGGTGGACTGAGCTGCTGTGTAGTTTGACATCCAGAGGACCCACCACCAGCCTCTTGATGGACGTCTCTTTCACAGGAGATACTGTCTCCTCAATGCCTGTCACTGAAAAGTCCTGAGAGCCTGTGAACACATGAACACCACGTGATCCAACATTTACCAAGATGACAATCTGGCTGTTACAGTGTGGACATATGGGGACAGATTTTTGAGATTTATTTGATTTTTTTATGTTCACAATATCACTTAGCCATAATTTATCACTTAGCCAAAAGCTACATATATTTCTCTGAAAATGCAGATGTACATTCTAGAAAACAGTCCTACAGTTTGAAGCAGCCAGACTGCACTAACAAACAATACAAAGACTTCACCAATGATGGACAAGGTTTTTTAATTTTTATTTATGACAATGGTAAAAAAAGTGGTGGGTTTTTTCTCCTTAATTTTGACCTTTGTTTTTTTCATGTGTTTTAGTAAGACAATTAAGACAATTTCACTTGGTGTGAAGGTTCTACCAAAAGAAAAAAAATTTTTCATTTAAACGTGACACAGTGGATATTTAAGTATAGAATCTGCTCTTGTGGAAGGCAAAAATACAACAACGATGGCAGCGGTGTAATGCGGCAGCAGGGAGCAGATCACATTGCTGTGGACCATTGGAATGATGAATATTCCAAATGTCCACTTCTCTCTCACAGCTGTCCCTTCATTCATCGCAGGCCCTTGTTCCAGAGGTCCACTTAAAAGGCTCAGCTCACAAGCAATAAAAAAGGAGAAATTAAAAATAAAAGAGGGGGCTGGACGCAGGGCAGCAAGGGAGGAAGGGGACAAAGGGTCACGACTCGCTTTATTCCCATTGCATTCTACCACTGTACTAAACATTCTTAAAACTTGGAGTCAACACTGAATTTTATGTTAGCTGGTGGGGCTGCAAGCATGGGGGTGGAACGCTGAGTGAATTTTAGAAATGCTCCAAGTGCAAGGGGCAATGTCATTTCCCTTTGCCTTCTTCAGTGAGAATTGCCTGTAGTAGACTAGGCTTAATATCCACCATATGGCTGCAGTTAGAATGATCAGTGAAATGATGAAATGAGGTTCAAATGAGCTTAGACTAAGACAATTTATTTCACGGAAGAACAAGCAACCCACAGCAATGGTTTAAAAATTATGTTGATGGTGAGAGTGATTAGGTGACCATTGTTCATTTTGCCTGCATTTCTGAAATGTGCAGCAATGTAGAACAATGTGTTTCATTTACACTGGATACAGTCCACATCCTGGACAAAAACACTGATAGCAGACAAACATTCCAAGTGTTTAGGCGGATCACAGCCGCCTGCAGGGGGAAGAGATTGACACTTATCCTGCTGTCAGAAATTTGTGTGACATCTCAGGATTACAGTATCAATGTTGTTTTTAATTTAGATGATTATCTGTGGCTGAAAGCAGAAAACAAAAGCCTAGTCAGAAACAGGGAGAGGCAGCAGGAAGATTATCTTTTCATGTCACTCAGCTGATTCTTGCTCATCTCTTTTCTTCTTTGTGGTTTTTTGAAGAGACAAATGTTTTTTTTAGATATTATGTATTATTATTTATCACAGTGACAGGTCATTTACACTTTATGAAAGATAAACCACTACTGTAACAACATTCATGGTCCAGGAGCTACAAACTACCTTAATGAGATCTCCTGTTACAAATCTGCTAACAGGCACAGCAGGTGGGGAGTTGTTGCATGTGAGAATGAAAGAGGGCTGACAGGGACATGATATTAACGAGCTGCTGGTACAGAAACTACTACAATTTCTTAATGTCAGATTCCTCTTACTCTTGGACTAAGATGAATAAAAATCACACCAAAGAAATCTAAATGATTTTAGTAAATTTTCAAAAGCCTTCAGAAGGAGACCTGGTACTGTATGTCTTTCTGAAATATTCAATTGTACTTCTGCCACTGCATCAACGGTTCTTTTTCCATTGAATTTCCAACTTTGTCTCTGTCCAAAATTTGTTTTGCAGTTAAACTTACGGGTGCACTGCCGGGCCAAACCCAGCATTTAAACTTCTGCATGAATGCTTCATCTTCTAAAGAGAAAGTCAGATCTTTCACACTTGGATAAACATTCTTAAATGCTGCAGTTTGGAATGAAAAATCTACCTGTGTCAGAAGGCTCCTACCAGGAAGAGTGACACCTAATTAGGTGAGAGGAGTCTATTCACTTTCTCAAGAGCTTACAGGTAAAGGAGACGGGGAAACAGTGTTTCAACAAGCAGTTGGGAGAAAGAAACTCAAATACGTGTCAGCACAGACTAAACACTCCTGACAGTTGCCCTCCAGGTAAGTTTGGGGTGAGAGTGAGGACAGGAAGGGTCAAGGACCAGGTGGCTGTGACTCAAACAAGACAAAGTCTTTCTTCAAGTCTCCAGGGGGCTTGTTTGACAGAGGAGAGAAAAGAGTGAGAGCGTGAAACGGAAAATCAGAGAGAGAACAGAGAAATGGGGGGAAGAGAAACTGGGAGACTGACGATTTAAAGAGGGACAAAATGGCAAGGTGAGCAAACATGCTCTGTGAGGAGGAATGACTTAGACAATACCTTTGCCACTGCTGTTCTCCATTGTGTAAAGATAATCCATGTAGAAGGCACCAAAGCGTTGCATGCCCGCTATCTCAGTGTAGGTCTCCTGTCAAACAAAAGTGGAGTTAGGTAAACATTAGCAGTGAGGAGGCAAACAAGCAGATAGCCTTCAGGAGTGGAAGTGACTGGGGTCATAGTGGATGTGTCAGAGGGGGTTTGATCAACCATTTAAAAAGAGAGATATTGTGGGGTCATTCTACTCACAAAGACATCGTTACTCTACTGAAAGCCCTTGTCCTTCAGAACTACTTTATCTGTGTTCATTTTCGTATTAAATTCACTCTGATCAGGAATTGCTATAGATGAAATCAGCAATAATAATTATGTACGAGTATGTCGGATTTTCTGCTACACCACATTTAATGGTTACCTGTTTCATAGTCCTCTAGATATTTGGCCGTAAAAAACATTAATAATTAATACTAGGCGAATACTCAACATTTTGATATTCAAATCCTCCTGTGCTTCAAAACACAGTCTAGGCCTCCAGCTGCTATAAATTAACATAAGGCCAGAACATTTGACAATTAAATTTGGAAGAGTTAATACATTTTTACAAAAACATTTCAGACACCTAACATCTGAACAATTGCAATATTGACCATATTATAATCAATCTTAAGATAAAGGACAACAGGAAAATATTTGTCTTCTGCAAGAATTAGTAGGCAATAAAGGAAAATAACAGGAGGGGTTGAATGACACACGCAGTTAACACCTCCACCCTGGCCTCACCAGCTCAATCTCTAAACATACATTTCAATGGAGCCTTATCGGGGAGGCAGGTTAATGAGTAATATTTATTAGAGGATATCTAATGGCTGTGGCATGCTTTTGGATCAAAGCCATCAGCTTCTTTCAAAACCACTAATGAAGCACCACTAAACCTTTGACTCCTCTCCTATCGAGTATGAATGGACAGATGGATGGATGTCCAAACAATTGCTTCACCATGGGCTGTGAACATTTCTGAGCTGAGTAAACAGTGGAGCTGCGAGGCTGATGAGGTGAGCCAAGTTATCAGGAATAATGGCTTTAATACTACTGCTCAGATAGCAGCCAGCAGCTGGGTGACTGACACACATTAGTTGTGTTCAAATTAGACCTTATTAAAATGGACAAAAATTATTATTTTTTAATAAAGCCTCAAACACTATAAAAAAATTCATCTTTATTTTGAGGATAAAACTAAGGTAAAAGTGCATTAACTGTGTACAAGACTAATGTTTACTGACCCAGATACACTGCTAATAGCAGCCTGGTTGTCACTTCCACTATTACACCATATCATATCTACAATGATGGATGGAGTACTTAGAGTTCTTCTGTTTTGTAATTGCAGTAAGAGGCTTGAATATATACACATACATTAAGAGTTTATTTGCAGGAAAAGACAGTATTTAATATTTAATCGTCAGTGCATTTTTACCCTTAATTATTTTGGTAATAATATTTTGATACTGTCCTTATTCATAAGAGGTAAGGTACAGGTATATCAAGCAACTTGTTGTGATATATGCAGTGACATAAATGTTATTTAGCAACAAATCATAAAACATTGTTCAGTCTTTTTCTATTCTTTATCCTTTCTTTGCTTTTAAATTGTTTTGTGATTAATGTTTATAATGTGTAATAATTCATAGCAAACATTAAATAAATTACACTACCTTTCAGCATGATTGTAATTTTTGGGGGGAGCTTCCCTGAGCTATTGAGGAAAATAAATAAATTGCATCATAGTAAACTAATATGTTGTGCTGAAAAAAAACAATTATTTGTTAAAGATGAGCGAATATTGGTTAAGAATGTATCTTGTGATGTATCAATGTGACCTTGTGAGTGGCAGTATCCAGGATAAACTCAGCTCTGACTCCGTTGTTCTCTGGGCTGCGGTAGTCAAAGAGGGAGTGGGTCAGGTAAGTCATTCCTTTGCTACTTAGCCTTTCTCCACAACTGAAGAACACTGCATCCTGAAGACATGAAAGGAGAGAAGATGGCTCTGAGAAAGGAAGCCTTACAGTCTATATACTGCTCTAACGGAGCAGGGTCACAATATCAGAGGCAGCAATTATAGCAGGACAACAGACAACAATGTATATCTGGAAAATCACTTTATCCGATCCAGGACTTTTCAATGCGGACCATGCCTTAATTGGATATCTGAGCTCCTCATACTGCAGCTGGGAGTCCAGCTTCTCCATGATCCAAACTATACAGTGTATTATTTAAAAATGCTGTTGTTGTAACAGAGATTAGCCATTTTAAACACCAGTCAGAGCACTGCTAAAACAATAAAACAAAAGATGAAATACCCTCACTCTATGATACTTCTTCCATACATGGGAAGAAATTATTAACAGAATAATGAATTAGAACAGGCAGCTGGACTACATTCTTCCGTAAACAAATCAAACCATGTCTTCACCTCATTCTGAAATCTCACTGGAGCAATAGAGGAAGCTGGGAAAAAAAGACTTGAGTGTAAGTAAAAACGCTTCTGCGGTCATAAGTTTGCCTTCTCCCACCAATTTTCAGGCTTAAATAAAGTTTCTGGCCATTGTTACCTCATCACTTCGGTTCATGTTTTCCTCAAAATCTCGTACTCCCATGATGCTTTTCAAACAGAGGGCCCAGCATCCCACAATGCCTATCTGGCAATCGAAGAATGGCTCCCCCATCATTAGGACCTAAAGAAATAAAGCACAGAGAAAATCATACTTCTCTAATGGAGGAAACTGGTTAAAGGAATTAGAAAAAAAAAGGTTTTGAACAGTTTCAAAGTTCATTAAAACTGAAACAGGGGCATAAATATGATGTGGATATTTCTTCCATGGACAATTTGGCAAGTATCTGGGCTCACAAGGTACATAAAATATGTTCAGGAGCCCCCAAAAAAACAACAGAAATTGACTCATTAATTGGATTTATTCATTTTTGTGATGGCCTAAAAAGAACAATTACAAAGTTCTGTTGGTTACAAGGAAATAGATAATTAAAGTACCGGGAAAATGGCTGGCATTCTTTAATACAAAAATATTTGATTAATCTTTTCACAACATTAATGAAATGAAATTATTTTATGAATTATTTTTTGCAAAATTAAAGTTTTTATTTACTTTCTGTAAAAGAAAGATGAACAAAAAGAGTTTTCTGATTGTGTAGTTCTGATAGGGGCTATGAGTGTGTGTGCACATGTGTGTTTGTGTATGCCAGCCCTTTAACCAGCAAGGTGTGGTTGTCCCTCACACACAGACAGCTACGTTGATGGAGCGCAACCCTATAAACCATTAGCTTTACCACAAAACAATTACAAATGCTTGGTTTCCTCTGTTTTACAAGACATTCTGGTGCCTTTCGCTGCTCTACCATTTGGTCGTAGTTCAGATTACTTTCGCTCTCTTCCAGCAAAAGCATAAATTACAGAAATTGGAATTGAAAATCTCTCAGATTTCTCACATATGGCAGAGAGCTTAGGAGCAGAAAACCCCTTTACTTCTCCAACGAGGTAATAAGAGAAAAGGTTTTAAAATGTTTACAACACTAAGGGGGAAATGAAGAAATGATCTGATCCTGGTTTGATTCAAGCACAGCTCCCACAGTGTTCACAACAGGCCACAAATTAATGACCTGGACTGGCTTTGTAAATGATCACTAAGTGGTGGATTTTATTCTGGAGATTTTACTATTACAACTATTATAATCATGTTTTAAACTAGTGGATTTGTTCTATATTTTAATATTCATAAATATTATTAGAAGTACTCTTCTTCAAGCGGGTCAGTAGTGTGAGAACACAGAAGTAGGGTCTCACCTCAATCGTGATTCCCTGTTGTTCCAGACAAAGGACCTCCCTGGACTTCACCTTCTGTGGGCTGTAGTAGCTGCTCTCTGAGAGAGTCTCTGTCAGCTGAGGCAGAAAGGAAATACAGACACAGGCAATGAAACATCGGTCTGAATTATCATCAGCATAATTATTAGAGCAAAACAAGATTAAAAAGATGTAATTTTGCTTGTCATTCATTTATATATTTTGACACCAAAAATTGCAACAACACAGAGGAAACTACAGAAAAAAATACAACTTAAACATGTATCCTTCACATGTGCATGTGCGTGAGTACCCACAGTTTATTACCAAAACAAATACATCATTTGAAAAGTAAACAAAAGCTATGCAAGACGTTGGACACAAGCAGCAGTTAGGCCCCTGAAAAATAATGCATAACAATAACATCCAAACAAGTACAAATGCAATTTTCCGAGATCAGAGACTGGATACCAGCCTTGAGACATTATGGTTGTTTTTCTTCTATGTCTGGATGTAAGCCAAAGACATTCATCAAACCACATGACAAGTCCTGGACGCCCCCGTGATTTGAGGGGAGGACCTTTCTGATGAAAATCATTAGATGACCAAGCTTGTCGACTCCAGAAAGAAAGCATTTAAATGTTCCTTAACTCTACATCATGGTCTTTAATGACATATCACGTAATAGAAAAACCCAGCATATTTAGCTCTTCTTGATGACCACAAAGAACAGAAAAAAACATAATGAACAGTGACAGTACTGGCTTCACTGTCTTAGGAAAAAGTCTGAATGGACAACCTTGTTTACAGGTAAGTCAGTTCAGTTCTAGCTTTTTTTGGGGGGGGTGGGGGGGGGTTTAATCATAGATCAATAATCACTACAGGCCTTCATTGAGAAATGAAGATGTACCTATAAAAAGTTTATTACAAAACTCTGACAGCTTTTATGAGAAGTGAGAAAAACATTTTTCCCTTCTTCAGCGCAAATGTGGCTCAGCTGTGTCAAAGGAAGCACTGCCAGGTGTTTGGCAGCAAGCATTAGGAAACAACAGAATGACTTTAAATGGTTTATATTGGGACATTCTGAACAGCTCTAGTTCTGATTTGAGTTTTATTTTTGACAATTGCAAAAGGCTTATTTTACAACAAACAACGCAGTTTCTTTTTCTTTTTTTTAACATTGATGTTGTTTGGCCACCTCAAAGTCAGTTTGACTGCAGAACAAATATTGTGTTGAGTATTTGCTCAAGGTGACATGTTTAGGCTAAACTAGTCAGGGATTGCGGGGTGCAAGTTTGTGTAACATTTGAGGTTGGTCAGCCTTAAAATAGTGGTATTTAGAGCAGACCAGTACAGACCCAAACTCATTCAACTTTTACACAGGAAGCAGGTGCAGAGTGAAAGGCAGCTGTGCCTTATTATCCCCAGTGATGGAGCAGACTCTCTCACCCGAGCTCGCTTTCCCTTTTTCATTTCTGGAGGTTTGTTCACGAACAGGAACAACCGCACCCAAACCTATGTGAACGCCCACGGTGAGGCAATGAGTTAAAATTTTCAATAACTGATCAAAGTTGCTCTTTTAGCTAATGTTAGAGCAGTTGATTAAAAAGAACTGCTAATCAGAGAGTGAAACGCATCAACAATATTTAAACCACACCAACCATTCCTAACAAATGCTGTCATGATGACATTTTTGGACTCTTACCATAGTCTTACTAATGTATTATGAAACATATTCATTTTGGTAGAATGTTATTATATTCAGTTATGCTGTTTCTGTTGTGGGGCTCGACCTTTAACTTGACGTATGACGTGTTTTATGGACTGAATGAATGACTAAAAGTAATGATCTATGTGGCTTCAAAGCTGAATTGCCCTATGGGGTCAATTCTATTCTATTTTATTTATATCAACTATACAGTATGAAAGCATGAAATCACAGGGTTGTAGCATTGGAGTAATAACTGAATGCTTCACATAAGAATGAATAGACAAACCTGCTACTGTGAGTCACTCCCTGCTACCTTTTCCTTATTTCTGCCCACCCATTTAAAGGCTGTGAGTCCAGGGCAAAATAAATTATTCTTTTTGAAGCATCTTGAAGACGTTATAACGTTGGATGTGAATATTGCAGTACTTAGGCTTTATATCCATTTCTCAGTGCAGGTGGAAAAAATCTGATGGAAGTGCCTAAGAAAACGAACTTGGAACACTAGAATTTGGGTAAAATTAAGCTGGTGTAAATACAGAAACATTGTTTCTTAAAATAAAAAATGGCATGAACTTGTATATGCAATAAGAGTTTGGCAGGTGTGCAACAGCAAAAATGGAGAACAAATGGTCATCACTAAACTATGAATTTTGTGTGTAAAAGTCATTAAAGCATGCTGCCAATTTCTCTGATCAAAAAGATCTGCAGTAATGCGTCAGCCGTCTAAAAATACCGATCTGATTTCACATGCATGTCAAACTCAGGTTTAGGTAGTGGCTGTTCAAAGACATGAAAACTCCCTCAAACTAAATACTTCCTGCTCGGGAAAAACAGCAAGAACGTTAAGAAACCATCCTTTCAGCTGTCTGCAATTACTCTAGATGAGAGGCAATTAATTGATTAAAAGAACTCAAACAATGCAGGGACAATTTTAACATTATTAGAAAAGCACTAAAGTCTGTTTGTCCCGAGAAATACTTCCCCTTTCCCTAACACACAGACGTTTAAAGACACACAAGTGGAACCAAAAAAAAGAGAAAACCCCACATACACACACCAACTCACTCACTCATACACACATATTATGGTGATCTGAAATGACTCAATGATAAAGGGTATAGAGTATGTTACAGAATAGTTCTCATACCACTAAAAATATTTAGGACATTAACATGATTTAAGACACTGGTTAGCAGTCAAACTGCCATCCCACACTGCCTTGCCAGCTGCAAACAAAACTGTTTGAATGCTTTTCTCTGAGATTCATGTGCTACACACACCCAATTAAAATAAAAAGAAAAAAGGGTATGACTGTAGATTGTTTACTGATCCATGATTAATTTCATGAGCAGTTATTTTTACCTTGAAGACAATGGACGCTTTTGTGCAGTAGAAACCTATGGAAACGATGGGGTCCTTGTGTGCATGGTGATGGGGTCTGTTAGTGATGCCTCCAGTTTCTCTCTGCTGGTAGAGACCTTCTTCACCTTCTTCAGCTGTGCCCACAATGGCTGGGACAAATGACCAGGCCCAGGAGACCCAGCCTTGGTCGTCATCTTCAGGACTGCTAAGCTGCATGTCAGAATCACTTCCTAGGCTTTCCATGTCCACATCCATACCTGATGGAGAAGAAAGTCACAAGGAATAATATATAATGATTTCATTATATCATTTTTTAGTTACTGGAAAAGCCAGGTACAATTTATATCTGTAAAATTGTTAGTAATAGATAACACATTCCGTATTCTATTTTTATTAACTGCAAATTAATCACTGTATTTAACCCATCTGTGAGCCGCTCTACCAATTAAAACAAGACACAAAGGAGCAGTGGGCTACACTTTTTGATCAAGTGGTATAAAATCTGATACCTTCTGACCCATGTCACAAGTCTCTTCCTTTATAAGAAATACATTTTGATGCTTCGTTAATTTAATCAAGACTAGAAATACCTATATAATTAAACATACAAAAAAAAAAGTTTCAACTAACAACTGAAAGCACAAAACAGTTGAAACTGAAATAGTTTAACTGACGTTTTTCCAATGGTCCAAAACGCAGGTGTGCAGCAGTACTTTAATGCTTCCTGAACTCCATGGGGAGAGGGTGTGAATGTCTGTTTCAGTGGAGGCCAAAAGGTATAGCATGTCAGCCAGCATCATGAGAGAGGTGAGACCTGACTGGATGCAGTGGAAGACTGTGGTCAGGGCTGATTGAGCTGGGCCCAGCAGCACCACATCCACTTCACTCAGCGAGGGTCACATACTTGTACACGGCCAATAAAGGCAAAGAAAGAACAGAAGGAAGGCCCTGTTGTTATGATCTTTATGACAAGTCGAGCTGCAATGAGGCTGCATGTAAAGACTAAGAGTGACCAAATCTTAATCCACAAAGTCTAAAGTCTAAGAAGAAAATGTGGGGTGAATGCTCTGACTGTCTAACACCTACACAGACTACAAGGAGATCAAAAGTATGTATAAAACATACTGTAGGCCTGGGGCTCAAGATATACAGAAGCTAAAGGCCTTAAAAGCGTCAGCTTCAATGTCAGCAGCAGAAAACCCAGTGAAACGGGGAAATAAATAGTTGTATAACCAGTGGGATGTAGTGTCAGTGGACTGGCATGTTGGTGGGATCGGTAACAGAAGAAAAGCACGACTGCGGTGAAGCCCGTTTACTGCTATGTGTCTCCTGTTTCTCAGCAAACAATCTGAAACCGAGGGTTCACAGGTTCCCCAAACCCTCATGCACCACCTCGCTCCCTGATCTCCACCTCTGAACTCATCCCATCACGTCTGTTTCCATACAAACTGAGAAAGAGGAAGCTGATGTCAAAACACAAGAATGTGCAATCCCAAACCTCATGGCCTCGCGTCCTCTGTGAGAAAACAATAGTGTCTGTGAGATCACAGCTTAGGAATCCCAGAGGCTCAAGCAAGTGAAAATTATGACATATTTTAATTAAATCTTTCACTTTGAGAATTGGCAGTTGGAAATCCCATGTTATAGCTTTTCAGCCACCTCCCCCTTCCCCCCAACCTCTCTGTCCTGCCTGTCCCTCATTTCTCCCTTTTGTTTTTACTGCATGGAGCCTTTGAGGTGTCAGTTTAACAAGTTAAGCTCTTTCACTTCAACACACAGCCTGACGAAGCCTACGTTTGAATTTAAAGGCAATCAAAATAAAAGCACAATTGCCAATCAAGTGATCAACACAAAGCAGCTTAAGAAGACTTTGAAGTTTTAATCCAAAGAAGTGAGTTAAAAAATTCCCAGAAAGTTTTGTGGGCTGGCCTGGACATATACTGCTGTGGAATGAAGCTCTGTGACCACACAGGTGTGAAATACAACCAAATGACTCTGTTTCAGCGACAAGGGCAATTAAAGTCAAAGTGAGTCTCTTTCATGGACAACTTACAATATGGATGTGTGCATAATTCCATTTGCGGAGCTCAGCAGCACCGTGTAATCGGATATGTGAAGGTCAAAGATGATTTCCGTGAGTCCAAAGTCTGCAGGCAGTGCTGTATGTCTCAGCTTGTCAGGAAGTAAATGTGCAAGTTGGGTCTCTCAGCTCTTCGCTGAGAGACCCAAAGGGAGAAGAAGGCAAAAACTGTCAAAAAAGTCAGCACCCCTCCTCAGGCTAGTAGATGCCCCTCTATCTTTAAAAAAAGAGAGGTAAACTCTACTACTTCAACTATGTGACTGCAGACACTAAGTGAACATGTGGATAAAAACCTGAGGAAAAAAATAAATAAAACAATACTAAAACCCCTGTAAGTTGTTTTGAATTAGAATAAAGTGCAGTTCTGTTATACAATTCTGCTGAGCCTGGAGAAAGACAACAAAACTGTGCCGTTCTAGCCATAGAGATGTTACCTGTTTATTTAAAGTAAGAATGTCCACTGGACATTCAAACCAAAGGCCTAAATATGTTTGGACAAAAGACTTTGCAATGTAACTGTGTTTACATATTGGCTAGATGTTTGATTACAGGTATTTTCCATGCAAATATACTCTGACGGACTGCACCAGGGGAGTTCCCAAAGGGGCAAAACACCAGGAGAGCACACATCACCAGCCAAGTTACTTTAGGAATCCATACACATCTTCACTTCTTCTTACAGTCCTGGCCCCGGCTTCCTAATTCTTCACATACTTGTTGTAACTGTGCAGCATTTAATTCTATGAGCAGCTGCTCTATTCAAGAATGTAAGTTCATCTATGCTTCCAACTACTGAAATGTGAGTAACTTCATCCAATATCAGACAGCAGTGATTTTTTTTGACTGAAAGTCTGCTGTTGGTAATGACAGAGAAGAATTCTAAAAATTACAACTGAGACTTAGCGGTGAATGCTACATGTTGATGAAATCATTACAGGAGAGGTTCAGGGACATGTGGACCTGACTGGACAGTCTAGTAATACTGTGGGCTATAAGACAATAGAGGCTCTCTGTCTCTGAGGGATAGTAAACATGCTCGGTCTCTGTTTACAACTCTTCACACACCTCTCATCAAAGATGGATGATTACTGTTATTTATGGCAACAATCCAAAAAACACCACATCAAATTGAGTGTTCAAAGACATGACAGGGTGAAGGAGCAGCAGCATCAGCAGCACTGCAGTGACGTGCGTACACACACATGCCTGTGGGCCCTAGCTCCACAGTGAGATACCTGTCATACACAGGTGAGGTTAGAATGGTGCCTTTACAAAAGATCTGTCAGCTCTGCTTATTATATCATCACTGTCAGAAGAACTGCCACAGCTAACACCAGACGTAGGCCACCAAAAAACAGAGCTAAAGACTTAATCCCTACTCTAACAAAATTATACTGTGAGATAATTAATTGGACAGTTATTACCAACTGAATGGATTTGACACATTTTCCATATTTTCTATTTTGTTTTTGTATTAAATAGTTTAGTCAAATAAGTCAAATAAAGTAAACAAAGACACAATGTCTGATGTGAAAAGAAACAGAAAATGGTTCTCCACTGGGGAACAAAATCCAACTTATACAATTTGTTGTTGCTGTAAAATATCCTAAAAAAATGTATAAAAACTGTAAATATAAAAAAAATTATATAAAATATATACAATTAATATATATAATCCAAAAAAGAATTCTTGCTTAACCCGTCATTGCCACACACAAATACAATCCCAGGACACATACACATCAACATAAATATTAATTATTTTCATTTAATCATTCAAAACAGCCTAGTGAAAAGACACAAACACAAACACATTTGTACAGAAATGGAACCAAAATAAACAAAATCAACTCACCACATGATGCCTTTAGGAAATGAAGTGAATGTGATGAAGGACAGTGTACAATAGCAGCGTCATGTTACAGCTATGATTGGATGATGATTGTTTCCTATAAACTGTGGTCGAGTAAAAATAAATATGCATGTAAGCCAAGTTCGTCACTAAGAGTGTCAATATGCAAGAATGTCGCAGCAGTGAGAGTCTATCTTTGGAGTTAGCTGACCACACTAGTAAAACAAGAACATAAAGGGTTTTTATGATCGAAACATTTTAGCAGTAATTATGCTTCCATATTATATGTCTGTGTAGGTTTTAGTCAATCAGGTCATCTTATCCAAAAATAGTTACATCGAGGGCAACTGGACGTAGTAGGTTTCTTGAAGACGTGTCACCTCTCATCCAAGAGGCTTCCTCAGTTCTGACTGACTATTGGGAAGTTCTGGTATTTAGCCTCAAAGAGGCTGCATACCCGTAACCACGGTCGTTGCAGAAAACAATACACTAACAATATTAGTGTATTGTTTTCTTCAACAACCCTCTTAAAGAAACCTACTCCGTCCAGTTGCCCCAGATGTAACTATTTTTGGACTTCCATAATACAATTACTCACTTTATTACCTAGTGTCAGCAATAAACACTGGACATATTCTACACACCACATGTTCCTGACCGACACTGACACTGGCAATGGCACTGGCAACCACAGACCTACAACCTTCAGCTTTATCACCTTGTGGATCTCCTCCAGATAAAGAGATCTGTGGTGGCCGGGTTTAGCGATCTAATGCTCTCCTGTATATTTCGGTGAACAAAAAGGACAGTCATTCCCATAGGCTGATTTTGGCTTGCATTTAGCACAGGTCACGGGGGACAGAGGCTGAGTGAACTTGCAGCAAACAACTCTGGCTGTCACCACTACTTGACATTGTGCCAATCACCTTGTTCCACTGTCAACTGCTTCTGATGCTACAGAGGCTCTGCAGGAGACAGCCTGTACAGTATATCTGTTTAAGAGAGGTCTATGAGAGAAGCCATCACCATGAGGCCCAATCAGAGAGACAGAGACAGCCCTGGGTTTGCTCCTTCCTTATGCTCTCCCTTCATCCTCCTCCATCCACATGGACAGGATCAGACTTGACGACAACAGTCTGTGTTGAGTTACACGCTCTGGCTTTTGTTTGTGGAAAAAGCAGGAGGAGCACACAGCATGGTCAAAGTGATGTTTAATGTGCCATTTAGGAGCAGGAACGGCACATGGACAGACAGAGACACAGACACGGTCCTGAACACAACCAGGCAGCACGCACAGCATCATGAGACAGCTAAGAAAAATGTCAGCTTCATGGATGGTCCGATGCCTCATTAACCACTTCACAACTCTGTCTGAGAGTGACTACTGAAGGAGCCTTGCTGACACACACTTCATCATGAAGTCACACTCAGGCATAAATATCTAGGAGACAAATACATTTCTCTGTCTTTGTTCATGGGTTAAACTTTAAACTAAATTGATATGACAAGATTGTACACACATATTACCATAACCTTGTGAGAGTACCTTGATTAAAGCTGCCAAATGACAGAAAGTGTTGGAAATGTAAAACAGAATTGGGAACTTCCCTGCACTGCATATAGGACTGTCCATTAGTAGCTCCATTCTGGGTAAAGGTTGTGGACTTCCTGAGTGAATGGTTTGGTTCAGTGATCATCCCCTGACTTATGTGTCTACTAGGGCATTGGTCCCCATGCCGCAGACCGGCAGACCGGTCCTTGGGTCAATTAGTACTGGGACGCACAGTTAGAATGCATAATTAACATTATTTCGTTGTAGTACTGGGACGCACAGTTAGAATGCACAATTAACATTATTTCGTTTTTTTTTTTTTTTTATCTGATTCTGAACAATTTTTTCTTTTAAAAAATTACCCAATTCTCTCTGTTGCATCTGTCTATGACTAACTGTCTAAGATGCTTTCCAGTCAAATGTTTTACTTACATCTGCTACCTTCTTAAAGGATCTGCTCTGGTCAGTAACACATAATATATTACTGCTAAATTGACAGCCCAATTTAGCAGTAATTTCCCATAGTACAGTGGTCCCCCAGGACTGCTGGTGGAGACGGCATCCTATGAGTCGAACCAAGTGGAACCATGAACCGAGCTCTTGGGAATTCTTACAGTTTTTTACTATACAAAAACTGATAAAAGCTCTGGAACCAGAGACTAAATGAAGCTCTTCTAATACTTTATTTATGGACTGGATTTCTTTTACGTGGATTTGTTGAAATAACAAAATAATTCACCTGAATGTAGTTAACTCACCAGATACATTTCCTGCAGTCTCTCTAACATGGCTGCTGCCCTCGTCCCCCTCACTGTCTTTGTGTCCTCCAATTTCTCCGTAGTAGAGAGCAATAACGAGCTGTAATATACGGATAAACATGGGCAGCTGCTGGTCAGTGATGGACAACTTCAGGCTCTCCACCATGGTCTGGATCTGGTAAGATACACAAGCAGGAAAAACACTAGTACTATTTCAATACTTATTTGTGACTTCAAAAAATGGACTGGTAAAACTTTTCAAAGCTTAATACTATTCAGTTACTTTAGGTTATAGAGAATTAGATGACAAAATTAACTGCATAATTAACCGTTCAGTTTGACATGATTCCAGTTTCTTTTAGATCTACTCACTTTAATGACAGACGGGATCTTAGCGTTGATGTTGTCGTAGGTGAAATGAAGGCGTGTTCTGAAGGAGCACTTGTACAGCAATGGGTCCTGGTAAAACTCTATCTTTCCACTGGCATTTCTCTTGTCCAAACACACAGTACAGTCTGCAAAGTTGATGACTTTCCTCAGGACCAGCTCTGGAGCTGCAGAGAGAACATTATATTATATATAATCATCTGTCAGCTCTAGTGTTGATCAGCCCACATGAGTGGAATAGTAAGAGATACTGTATATTTATACTACAAGTACATAGGCTACAATAAAGCTACAACATCGTTCAATAACTTCCTTTCTCATCACACCTTATTTAGCGTACGAGGCTTGTCTGTGCTAACCACTGACCAAATGTTAATTTAAATTCCAGTGAGCAGTAGCCCTAGTTAGTCTTAATCCATTTTAAAAATACAAGGTTACACACATGTACCAGAAGTTTGTTCCGTGTGTGTGTGTATTTGTAACAACGATACCAAATGATCCAGTGCAAATACACCCGCTGTTACACCCTGATGTAAATAATACTATCTTATATTTTGTAAAATACAGGTTTCTCCAGCTTACAGAGCAGGAGACCACCTGCTTCACTGGTAGCACCTGTGGCAGTTCTCCTGTTAAATCAGCTGCTGAGTCTGAAATGCCTCTATACTGTACTCGCCCTGATACTTAACATCATGATTTAGTTCAGCTAAGCTTCTGCTGTCTCATGTTTTCTCACTTCAAACATTCTCTCTCCCTGCACGGCTGCATTGCTGAACAACCAGAACAAGACGATCAAAAAGATCCCAGGCTAAAACGTCATGGAAACTAAATCCATCTTATATGCTTATATATAACTGCATGGCTGTGGACATTGTATCTGAATCAAGGTATTTACAAATTTATGCGGTAAGAAGAAAGTGAATACCAGCAGCCCAAGTCAAGGCCAACTACAATTGGATAGACAGATGCTTTAATTACACGGGGGCTTTAATCAAAAGTTGAAATAAAAATACTGCAGAACACTCCTATGGCAGCTGACACTGATATATATATATATGTATATAGGTTTATATATATATATATATATATTCTTAAAGCATATATATATATTTTTTTTTTTTTTTATCTACGTAATGTGTTCCCAACATGAAATATTGTGTGACCTCAGTTTGAACTAAATTAGTATAGTATATAGGTTTTTTTCTTGTTGGATTTCATTGGTAATCCCACCACCAAGAAATGTAAGCAGCAATTGCTCACCAGTGATGTCCATGAAGGCCCTCTCCCACATATCATCCACAGTGTAGCACTCTGCTGATGTAATGTTGACTGACAACACAATGTCATCTTCCACATACTTCAGGATCAGGTTGTTCACAACAAGGTTTAAATTATTCACCACACGCCTGATGAGACTCTGGACGTAACCTTAAAGAAAAACACAAACCATGCATATTTAACATAATAGCACAAAACATTGTATAGTTATACTATAGAGACTCTACATTGATATTCATACAAAACTGCCTTTCAAATGGAACATAGGAAAAATGACAAGTCATTGACTGGAACATTTCTTCCACTTGGTGGCATGCTTTAAGAAAATGTTGAAAATACCACACATTACCTTTGTGTTCCCTGGGGTTCTGTTCTGTCCCACTGTTATAGTGTTATATCAATACAGTACAGTGTGATATCACTAAAAATCAGATTTGTTTTTCTTTGACAACTGACCACATTTTATAAAGGTAGACATTGCAGATCAACAGTGGTATTACACAAGACCAGCTTTTAAACAACATATACGTAGTTTTGTTTAGCTAATTTCATTTACCCAATTCATACAGGGACAAAACACAAAAGTCTGTCAAAGACAATCACTCAGCAGTCTGTAAATGAACAGGAAAAAGTCATTTAGAATGTTCAAAATTTAGATATAGAAATAAGAACCAACCAATGTATTACAACAGACAGGCTGAAAGCAACAGCAAGACAAGTTATACGAATGTGGAAATAAAGAATAGAACAAATCTTCCATTCACAGGAAATAAGGAAACAAAGGGTGTATGTCAGTGAAACATTCAGTTTGAATGCAACAAGAGAAATGTCTTTGGCCTGTGTGCATCACATGCCACCAGTTTATGTTGCTTCTTCCTTACAGATATGGAAGCCAAGAAAGGCAAAGGAGCAGTTTCAATCGCACCATCAAAAATGGCAAAAAAAGTATCTTTCGTGCTAACACAAAATAGAGTAAAAGTAAAATGGGGCAATGACACAACTAAATGAGTATCAACATATGTAATATAGCAGTGTCAACATGTGTATCTGAAAAATGTTTACACCTCCTAAAATATTCTTTATTTAATATGCAATCAGCTTTTTTTATTCTAGGGTAGGATTGTTTTAGAAGACACAGCTGTGGTGCAATTGAAATATATATTGTTTATACATGTTTGACCTTCTATAAGGAAGGATGTGTTGCTACAGCGAGGAACTGTACACAGAGTACATAACAATCTGCTAACAGAGTTATGAGGACATATTAGCATCATCATGTCATGGCTGAATTCTCTAAAAGTACAGCCGACCCATGCCACCTTTCTGGGCTCGTAAATATCAAAAGGTCCTGACATGTTATTTTTCGCCGCAACCTCTCCCCTGGACATGTGCAGTTAAAGGAGCTAAATATCCATAAGAAAACATTTTTCCTCCTCACTCTGCCTGAGCAGGGCTACAAATCCTGGGTGAATTTATGAATCTCTAAAGATCTATGCTCTCACAAGTAAAGTTGTGTTTAAACCCAAAACTATGCACATGTTGATTCAAATATATCCCTCCTAAGTCCGGTAACCACGGAGAAATATGTATGTACATGTGAACATGTGCAAATTTTATTGCACTTTCCAATTACCTGACAGTACACATGTTTAGATAGGACAGCTATGGAGAAAGAAGTGAGTGAAAGTGTGACGTTAATAAAGAACGCATACATTCTTTCACCAAATTTATAAGAAGAAACACAACTGGACTTTTATTTCACAGTGTAGTGAATGAACAAGTTGATGTCATCACTTCTGCTTTAACAAAACAAGACAAAAAAATGTGACCAAGTTCAAAATTCAGTGGTAAAAGAGGCCAAAAGCAAGAGAAATAATTTGTACAAATGTAAACTAAGACAAAATATAGGATGATGAAAAAGATTTTATGGTTAAAGTGAAAAGTAGAAGAGCTGTGGGTTTTGTGGTGGAGCTGCAGATGGATGTACATAGGAACCAAGACCTAGCAGTCAAGAAAGGAGCACTTCAATAGCTTGGGTTTCAGCAGAGCTGTGGGAGCCGTCCTGCAGTGTTACCAGTACCTCCTGTGGCCAGAGTTGACGCCCAGAAACAGAAGCTTTGCAGCAAAAACATACATGCTAAGGTTATTACTCAACAAAGTAAGAAAGAACCTAAAATATTGTAGACAGGGGAGTTTCAACCATAAAATATGAAAATATACAGCAATAAATTCTTGTAACCACAGAGCCAATGGCATTATTCATTCCTCTCATGTGCTGTTAAACACAGTCGCTACAACTTAAAAACATATAAACCTTTAAAGCTTTTTCCTTATTTTCCAAACCAAATGTTTGTCTTCCTGTATCTACACCCCTGGTCCAGAGCATAACAGAACCGATAATTAGGCAGCACTAAATGGCTCTGTTGATGAAAATATATGAATTGGTTAACTGTTTGGTCTACTGCACATATGCCCAGCCATGCATTAGCATAATCCAATTGACAAAATTCTGGTGGATTTGCTGCCTGAACAAACAGAGTGGCATTAAGAGAGAGTGACATAATATAACATAATATAAACTCAACTCATAAACGCAATGACTGTTCATGAGTGTGGACTAGCATGCATGCATGTATGTATATAGCTGTGTGTATAGCTGAATGTGACTTTGTGTGTGTGTGTGTGTGTGTGCCTTTATACTTGGGGTCACCAGGAAAGCTGCTGTCGCACCTGCAGTAAAAGCAGCACTTTACCCCCTGCTATTCTACTTTCTGGATCTAATTTACCCATGTCAGAATGTCGCTCTCACTCTTACACTTGTTATACCTATTTTGCCCGGTGCCAAATCCAGGGGCCTAATCCGTCTCTCCGCGAGTCATCGCACTGCTCTGAACTTCTGTAAACAATTGACACAGCCAGCACCTGTGCTGCAGCCCACGGGGAAAGAGCCCATTTAAAACTGCTCAACCATAAAATGACTGGAAAAACCAGCTCCTTTATGTGATCTCAGAACAGGCCAAGTACTCTCTTTTGTGCAATACAGGAAAGAAACACTATAGTGTCCGTGCTCTCCATTTTTCAGGTGTATGGAAAGTATTAGCTGCTATTAGAGTTGCCAGTTATTAGACACTGAGGAAAGAGACCGACACATTCATCACACAATAAATATACTGTATACAGGTCCAACGGTCTCATGCTGAAATGTAAGTTATATAGAGCAGATGGAGCGGCCACTTGAAGCTGTAACACCTACAATGCATGGTACAGCAGGTCTCTGCAGAACCAGAAAAGCTCCTGTAGGAGAAATCTCAAGCTTTTACCAATTCTGAGATATTCCTTGTGGATAAGTAGTCTTTTGCAGTAATACCAGAACAGCTGTTGTGTTCAGATTCTGAGCCACTGTACCAGGACATCAGCAGTACTGGACCATAGATTAATCTGAGTAGTGTTTGCCTTTCTGTTCATGCAAATCTCCTCAACTCACACACTCACTTGAACAACCACTCATGTATGCATGCACAACTCCCGTACTAACAGACATATATTGAGGTGTATATTTATGCTCAGCTTTTTTTTTCTAACAAAAAGTACAAATGGTTTCCAAATGCTCTGTTGCCTCTGTGGGATAGGTTAAACTAGGGGATAAGTGTACACAAATAATTACATATCCATTAAATTATAACAACAGAGTAGGGAATTTATACAATTATCCGATAATTATCCATCTGTTCACCCAAGTCAAATTTAATACTAAATACAAATGTTTTGAACCATTTCATCTCAGCTCTCAAGGCCATCACTGAATTGCTTCAAACTTCTGCCAAACAGAGTGTGGTTTTAACAGGGTGAAAACAGGTCAAAGCAGCAGCTCAGTGCAGCAACAAAATGTGCTTCCCCAAAACGGTGGCCACTGGACCCCCACAAAGCAGCAGTAAACATAATCACTCACAGAATTGCTAGAGGTCGTACTGACTCTAGTTTCTGGTCCTTTGCGTGGCTACCAGTTCAGTGGGACATGAATTTAATTCTTTATTTTCCACCACGGAGGGAGAACAGGGAGAAAGAAATTCAGTCAGTATGTGAGGGCTTAAGGACAAATGAGTGTATAATTGTTAGTGGTTTACTTTTTAGTGTGGCCTATGTTTTGACTTGGTTGTTTTTGAAAAAAAGGTGACCAGATGTAAAACTGATGTGTTTTTGTCAACCCAGAAATAGGACTGTATTTCCCTGGACTGAATTGAGCGTCCTATATGGGAATTATTCAAAAATAATCACTCAAAAAGTGATTGATTAATAAGCTATTACAAAAAAAAACTTTTTATAACTATTTTATCATTTGTACAGTTTTTCTTTCTTTTTTTCCCCAACAAGACCACTTTTTGGAATTTCACTGTTCCCCTTCAACTCTACCTGGTTTTTGGTTCTCAACAGCAGCTCATTTGGCTTCCTTGGTTTGTCCATGAACAAAACTTTTTTTGAGCTAGATCAAAGAATGCCGTTATCATAGTACATTACCTATGAAATATGTTACACACAATCCTCTCTCAATTTTGGGACTGTATGTACCAACATACAACAACACAAGGTGAATTTGGATTGGATTGCACTGATTCCACTGAGCACCAGATAAGTTAAATTATGGAGTTGTATTGCTCTCTAGTCTGGAGCTACCACCTGAACAGCTTTGTTATCATGCCCTGGGCAGTAACTGCAGTGACATTTGCTGCATGTTTCTGCACCTCTCAGCCCATTTTCACTCCTCTCTGTAGCTGCTCAATAAGGACTAAATGACATGGAAAAAATAGTAAAAAAAAAAAAAACATTGATAGAAATCCATTTGTAATTTATTGAGTGTTTAAGCCAAAATATTTGGGCCTGACAGCTGAGGTGATATGACAGAAACCGAGTTCTTGCTTTCTCTTGTGAATCCTTTGACTGTTTTTATTTAATTAATTTCTAACAACAGGTCGATTGTTTCACCAGCCATCTCACTGGATGAGTGATACAATTTATTGTGCAAGTGGTGTAATTAATCACTCCTCTACAAAGATCACCAATACACACCCTTTCTACACAATCCAAACCTCATTCAAAGTTGTGATTTAATGCACTTCAATACCAGACATGTCACATGGTGTTTATATAGCAGGCAATGCAGTACTAACAGTACTGTTATGGGTCTCGCGAGAGCTAGCCCTAAGAAAGAGTTACTCAAGACAAAGGCAGGTTTCACAAAGATGTTTGTTAACAAATTTTGTTTTGTTTTGTTTTTTCTGCTAAATTTTAGGAAAATGCTGGTGGTAGGCATCCTGTCAATTACTACAAAATGATGTGCTTTTACCCTTATCCTTACCTACATTAAATACTCCTGACAGGTTTATTTTGTATCTTATTCTTAGTAAAACATCCTCTCTCTGACTCATAGCAGGTTAATTTTACTCCATCTACCTTTTAACCTCTACCTTTTAATGAGAAAATGTGGGAGTGAAGCCTTCAACTGCTTCCACACTGTTATTGAGGTGCTGCGACCTGTGACCCCAGAGTTGTCTCTACAGCCTATAATGGATTGAAACAAGGTCCACTGCTGGAGCAGAGTAAGAGGTGTGCACACAAATTAACAAGGATACACTAAACACACACACACACTAAGACAGACACACACCTCGGATGTCAGTTGGAGGTTGGTCTAAAGGGAGATGCTGGGGTGTGAGGCACCATGCTTTAACAGCTGGGAAGAGATATTATCTCATGTCAGGCCTGGAAATTGATCCTCCCCAGATACAACCAGATAGGAGGAAAGGTTCATGCGTTCATGCATAATAGTAACCTGGGAGTGGGCTCTTAGGTTGGGTGCTTGTTACTTGGATCTCAAAGCTCAACCCCAGCATTTGTTTTATGTCACATCTTGTTTTTATATTCATTTTTCTTTATTTACCAGCTGTCTCATTTAATATGCTGCTACCATTACTTTTGAATATATTCTCACACAATTTTCAACCAATAATCCGTGCCGTTATAAGCCTCATTAAGTTTTGATTTGATTATTTCTCTAAAAGCCTCAAAACCTCTAAATAAGCAGAGGTAGTAAATATTTTTGAATGGTTGTTATCCAGCACCAATCGAGCCATTTCTTTGTGAGGTGTTGTAAAATGCAGGGCAAGGAATCCGTGGCACCATAGGAGGCATGTGGTCAAGTGGCCTTGTTGATAAGAGCCATCACTGTGTGATTTATCATAGACACATTCCCCACGCTCCCTCTGGCTGATTTATACTACTGAAAAATGCATTACTCTACAGATCATCCCAAAAATAACGCTTACATGTGTAAGCAAGTACTACATATGTGCAACTGACAGCCTGACGCAAACCTATGCCGGTATTTCGCTGCTGACAAGAAATCTGTTAAATTCAGTTATTCTGCCCTTTAACTGTCTTAGATTCTAACACAAAACCAGGATTTCCCATGAGCACAGGAACAACCGGGTCATAGGCTCACTTCAGGGTCCAGCTGTCTCACCAACCAAGGCCAAGTCTGCCATGGTGAAAAAATGTCTCCACAGTGTTAACCTCTTCAGCCCATAAGCCATCCTTTACCTGGGGGTAAGTCTGGGTCGCTGGGGGCAGCCTGCTGGATTCGGCGGGGCTTTGCCACAGCCTTGGAGCTATCTGAGACACTGCGACTGGTGGAACTGGAGCCGCTCTCGTGGTCATCCTGGGAAAAACAACAAACAGTGAAATAAGGAGGAATGATGAGTCAGGTTTTAAAAGGTTTTAGTTATAAATCTTTGCCATCAAGATGTTTTCTTCCTTTATCATAACACATGATTACATTTAAAAACGTAAGAGGTTTAATTATGGTATCACTTAATATTGAGCAGCAGATATTTTGGATTTTCTAGTGATTTAATATTGACCAGTTGTAATACCAGTGTGGTACTTATGTATTAAATCAGTTGAATGGGAATGTGTTATATAATCAATGTAATTCATGCGAGCTAGGCAACAACTAACCAATCAACAACTCATTGACTACTACAATCATGTCTGAATTTAAATTATAGAATTTATTTTCAATATTATTTAATGAGACCATTTCCATTACTCCTTTTTAAAAGTTTTTTGTTAGTTTACAAAAAATAAAGCATCAATGGATGTTGAGGGAGGGATGATTAGTTCAGAGTAAGGACAAACAATGTCTAAGATATTTTCACATTTTTTAAACAAAATGACCAAAAAGTCAAGAAGGGTTTGAAGTCTTTTTAGTCATTTAAGTCAAAGAATCCCAAAAGTGTGTGTGGGAGTGTGTTTGTGTGTGACGATAAAATGGACTTCCCCTTTTACAGACAAGCCCAGAGATAAACAAAATGGCCAAGGTTCTGAGGGGTTATTTATTGGTTCAGCTTGTGCAGTGCCTCAGCCTAGTAGGTGCCCTGTGACACGAGGCGCAATTAAAACAACGGAGAGAAACACTGGTAGGGCTTTGAGATCACGGTTAAAACACTGACTGTCAAGGACTTTTACAAGGTCTACAGTAAGTCCACACCACAGGTCTTCATTCTGAATTGAAACTGAACTAAAATGAATTTTAGATTTGCAGCAGAAATAACACTTATCACATCTGACCAGTCTAAAATGCACACCACATGAGCATTTACATGCACTGGTTTTCCATGGAAATTTTAAGGGAATGTTTAAATAACAGCGCGCCTCCTATGTGAATTTATGAACCTTAAAAAAGAATTTAATGACAGATGTTAGGAAAACATCAAGGTCAGTATCCATTGTTACTTGTTACTCATGTGGCACTTATCACTGGGGCTGGAGGATTATAATGTTTGTTTTCTTCTGGCAGAAAGTCGCATAGGAGCATGACGAATTAAAGAAAGGATACGTGACTAATGTGTCCCAATCAGGAAGCAACGGTGGGCGCGTGCGTCAGTGTTTGTAAAAGTCTCAGTTTCTGTACATACAGAATAAAAGACAAACTAAACACTCTCAGCTTTAGGGGATTTAACTTCAGAGTCAAGTTAAAGCCAGGCATAAATAAAGCATAAGATGCGAGATTTAACAAACCAAATATAACAAAAAAGGTTTGCTCATTTCATTAAAAAAATGCATTGTAAACACTAATGAGTACTTTGATAACGCTTCATTGTAATTTCACCTAAGTGTTGATATAGTCTGGTTTTTACTGCAAAACAACATTATTTGTGTTATAAAAACAATGTGGACAAAATTTGGACATAAGTGACCAAATATTTATTTCAGTAATGTTTAAATACACTCCTAAGATTATAGGTCGATGGCCATAATGTAGCCAAAATGCCAAAAAAGGTGTACTATAATTCTAAAAGAGAATGTGAAAGAAACTTAACAGGATTTGATTGTTCTGTTAACAATAGCCTGACAATAGTTACATTTGACAAATAGTTTTCATATTTCACCATTAAAAAAACGGATAATTTCTTAACAATGGGAAAAAAAGGTTTACACATACAAGTTTGAATATATATTTTTATATATATATATATATATATATATATATAGATAGATAGATAGATAGATAGATCGATAGATAGATCGAAGAAACTGAAGATAGGAAATAAAATTACAAACCAGTGCATGTAGTAAACAAGTATGATGTATTCATAATCACAATACACTTTAAAATATCTAAACAGAAGGGGTGAATGAAAATTATTTTGCCCTAGACATACTGTACTATAGCCACTAAAAATAGAGAAGTCAAAGAGAAGGTGGGGAGCAGAGTGTTTTAATGCACAGTGTGGTATTGATTAGAGGATCCTGCAGCAGCACTGTAACCTTTTCACAGTCAGCCTGGGCGGTAGGTTGGTCAGACGATTTAAAAGAGAACTGGCAAACACATATGTTTGACATTTACACGGGGGATCAGTGTGGCAGTGTCGCAAGAGTCACTCCATATGCTGACTAATATAAACACCCCGAGTCTGAAAAACCAATATGTTTGAATGCCCCTGACACACAAACACACGCACATGCACCCGCACACGCACGCACACACACACACACACACACTCTGTTCATTAACCTCACTCTAAAAAGCAAATAAAATCCATGAGCCTCACCTTTCAGCCGAGGCACACGCTGTACATATTGTACATTCACATATGCCATGCAATTGCCACACATTCTCTGTAATTACAATAAGCCCCTTTTTTTGTGTGGTTAAACAGTGAAGATTAGGTTCTTAAACATACTCTGCATAATTGGGGCTGTGCACACACTGAGAAACAAGTATCTTCCAGTGCGGTAAAGTAAACAGGCAGTTGCCAAAAGGAGAAGAGAGAAGCTCTGGAAGAAATATTTATACTTCACTTCAGTAAAGGCTTTTGCGGCAAGGCTGCATTATGCAAGTAGTTTCTTTCTCCCAGCAAGTGGTGGAGATTGGTAAACAGAGGTGGAGTAATAATAAATATCTCACCAGGGTTCCAGAGAATAAGATGGAAAATAACGTGTAGACTTATTGCTAATTTTCTACAATTAATTTGCCAAATTGTTGCTGAACCTGGTGAATCGTATTATAACAACAGTTAAAAAAATAGTAGGAGGAAATAGAAATTAATGTTGGATCTGGCAAGTTTCAAATGAGACTGTGGCCTAATAAAACAGTCTCCTCTGTTCACCCTTTCGTCTGCAAGAATTCCTGACCAACGCTGTATTTCAACAGTCCAACAACTCAAACTGCTCCCGTCTTTGGACTGCCAAATTTGGAAGTAGAGCAATTAAACATTCAATGTCAGTGTAGGCAATGAGCAATTCTCAAGGGGCAAAAAATGCCTTTTCAGAAGGAAGCCCCAGGACAAATGAAGCCTGCCTCAGCTGCTGCCGGGTAAAGTGATCCCTTCAATGCCACACCAGGGCGCAGGACAGAGGGAGGGTGGATGGAAGGATAAAGTAGGAGAGAAACAGGAGGACCAAGGATAAGTAAAGGGTTTTTTTCCCCTGCGGGCACGTCAACTCAGCTGTTGACTAAAAATGACAGTAACAATAAGGAAAAGGGAGAAGAAAGTACAAGATAAGTTAGGGAAAAAAATAACAACAGCACAAACAAGGAAAAGGTTGTGGCAGTGTGAGTGACAGGTTCGAGGGACCTCCTGCTTAGAGGGTAAGTGGGCACCCACGGAGGGTTAGGGCACAGGAAAGCCAGGTCTGACCTCTGTCCCTGACACGTCTGGCTGTGTTGAGGACCAGAGGCAGTATGTTGAGCCTGTCTGGAGGGTCAGCCCTCATCTGAACTGCTCAGTGCATTAGCTGAAACTCCACCACCTCAGAATTTTACAATTTTAACAAAACAAACAAAGACGCGATTGGTTACAGAAACCAGACACCATCTGAATCTCCATAGCCACTGGCATGATAAGGAAAAACTCACAGGATAAGTAGCAATTCAAACACAGTTTGAACACAGTTTAAGAATATAAATAAAGTTACTCTAACGAGATCAAATTTGACAAGACCATTATTCTTAATTATTTGATTTTTAAGCACTCAGAAAGGTCTGTAGTAGAGTTAAAAGTGAAGATGAAAACAATGCTTATTTTATTTTTATTTCAGGAGAATTCCCTTTACTGCATCTTTAAAAACCGAAACATTTTTGAAGCCGGTCAATTTCACACAGTTTCAACAGCTCAATGGGAGAATGCACATGATCAGTGCTAAATAAACAGGCTTTTGTTATTGTTGTCTTTACTCTGCAGGTTACTGGCAAAGTCATGCTGACATCAAAGCAGCAGGCCAGGCGACTGGAGACACACACACACACACACACTGTAGCTGCATATGTGAATGACAGTAATATGGATGGATGGATGTGGTGAGTTTAACCTTGATTTCTATTTGATTTTTTTTAGAATCACTTGTAATCAACACTGGTTTTGGTCATGTTCCTATTTAAATAAAGTCCCAGAGTCTCAAGACAGACCTTGCAACTGTTACACTGTGTGAACAATGTGGTTTACTTGTATTCCTACTTTCTTTCAAGCTTACAAAACATCATATTGCCTTTAAAGTTCCTTTGCTTGTCCTGATTGCTTCTTTCTTGGCTTCTTTGGTATATGAGCTCTTTTATTGCAGTTAGGTCTAGTTTGTCATTATCATCATCATTTTCATTACTTTAAATATTTTTAACTAATTTATAACCAGGTTAGCCAATGATGACCCTGCTTCTCATTAAAATGGTTTCCAGCTGGCACAAAAAGCAATGACACAAGAGCAGCGGCCCCGTTGTTTCAAACACAAAGTCACAGTTTGGGATAGTTCCAGTAATGTCAGATGGTATGCAGCCACCTCTTTTACACTTAAGCTGCACAACCCACTGATGACGACCCCAGTGGAATGTAAGCTGAGGAAAACAGAGCTCATCGCATTTGACTCAAATGACCTTTTCTTTAATGTCCCCTGGCTTCGAACACATCCATCAGCTCAACAAAAAATTAGCTGCTAATGGGTTTTTAATGAAACTGTAACAAATGTAGAAAGCCATTACACCATGATTAAAGACAGGGGGTTTCATTTTCTCCTCATACAGAGGTAGACTAAAGGGGGGGGCGCTCCCAGCTAGAGCTAATTCACATACTCTTAAACGTGCCAAGGGCACGTTTACTACAATTCTCTGCATCTTGTATGTAATTACACGTAGGCACACTGAACACAAATGTTTAAGTACAGCAC